CTTTCCCCTACTCTTATAGTATTTTTCACTTTAACTTTGCACACACCCAAATGTTTCCTTGCTTTTTCCACCTGCACTTCTATGTTACAACCAATCAGTAGATTTCCATTTCTGAGTATCTTAGCATATTTGATTTCTCCAACTTGCAGACCTGTACAGGCCTTCGACCAACTCTCCTGCTAACCTCACTCACTAAATCCACTAAGGTACTCCTGAAATCCAAACACACACTAACTCCAACAACCACACCATACATGTTGAAAGCACACAGATCTCCAAACCTCCACTCCTCAACCTCATGTGTCTCTCCCCCCTTTCCCCCATAACCTGTTTTCTCTCCCCTTTATAGAGAAGGGCTCAAATCATCACCAGTCAACTACTCCCTTTACTCAACTCCAAAAAGCTGCCAGCTGGACTAGAGAAGAATCTCCACTCTCACATGGGTGTGATCCACATCTCACACAAGTAAGAGATTTACTCAATTATTCCACCACGCCACATTCTGCAACATGTAAACCTGAAATCTGTGTAACAGTCGAGAAGTATGAAGTGGAAGAACACAAAGCTCCTTTTACCATCAGATCATATGAGTATTGAATTTAGACTTCAACTGTGACACGTGAGTAAATGCGCTTTTGTTTTCTTGTGATACTGGGTATTTATTAAAGCCAGTATTGTGTAATGAAAGATTCAGATTTAATTTAGGACACTTCTGATCTTTCTGAAGAAGAAAAAACAACTAAATAAAAGTGGTTTGAGGTGTAATAAATCTATCTCTGCGAAAATAGCACCCCGATTAATTAACAATTTACACCAGCAAAATAGCAAGTAAGAGTGGTAATGCTGGGCAACAAAGCAACAAGGAAAGTCAAAGAGGGACCTGGGAGCATACAGTCTAGAACAGGGGTCGGCAACCTGCGGTTCCAGAGCCGCATGCAGCTCTTTAGTCCTTATACAAGTATTTAACTGAAGTGTATTTTATTTGTGTTAGTTCTTTTAAAAATTGTAATTCTAAATTGGAAGATTATTGCGATCTTGAAATATAAAAATAAAATTATATTTTATTATTTTTCGTCACTCAAAATAAGCGTCACACTTGTGGAAGCCGGTACACCCGCCGTGCATTTATCAAGACTTTCAACCCCAGGTAGGCCAAGTATGGAGAAATGTGAAAAAAGAAAACTATCAGAAGAAAATAGAACATTTAATGATGCCTGGGCAGATTCATTTGCATTTACTTCTGAGGAGGGCAGCCTACCAGTATGCCTAATATGTGGATTGCCGATCTTCGGATCCAGATACGTATGTGACGTTGTACGTGAGCAGCTATTCTCCACCATGAACTATGTTAAAAACAAACACCGCTCACGCCTCACAGACGACAGCTTACAGTCCTCCGTAAAGATGAAAGTGACTTTGAACAGCCCCGATTTGCAGGTGCTGTTTGCAGAGGTTCAGGAGCAGACGCAATTTGTTAGTAGCATAGTGCTTTTTAAAAAAATAAATTAAAATTCAGA